TTCTCTTCTCCATCCACACCATTGTCAAACCAGGAAAAGCGATGGCAATGGATTCCCTCCTACATTCACATTTCAAACATTCATCAATTTGACACACCATGGTAGTTAAAATTAGGATCTGAATCATAAAATCGTAGGATTTTATGATTTATCCCAGCCAAACGATTCAAGTCGCAACAAAAATCAGAGCGAGCTGAAATCGCAGTAAAATCGCGATTCAGATTGAAATCAATAAAATCTCGATTTGCTGCCGAATTTTAGAAAAATGTGGGTCGGATCTGGATTTCAGCCCAAATACTTTATAACCTGAGCCTAATCCAACTTTTTAATTAGGAGCGAAGGAAGTCTCGCGTTCTTCTCTTCTTCGTCGAGCCCCAGACCTATTAAGAACGACTTTGTGTGCACTGTTAGCAAAAGTCATCTTCTCTTCTTCACGATTTCTCTGCTTGAACCTACTTATTCGCGATTTCTCGACCAAACCAAGCGGCAATTATTTTTCTTCTTCCTTTTTTTTTCCTCTTTCTCTAGTTTTTTCATGACACCCTAAACCAACCAGACCAGGCAACACCAACTTGTTAGTTTTTTTTCTTCTTCCTCTATTTTTTTTTTTCATCTTGTTTGAGGATGGCTTCAAACATGGCTAATGGTCCAAGTTTAGGGGCTGGCGTTTCTGGGTCACTCCCAACTGCAACTGACAGCTCCACTGCTATGGGCTCTTCAAGCGTGCTTCAAAGGTTGGTTCCTCGAAATGCCCATGGAAACAAGGGTGGTGTGGGATGGAAGTATGGATTTTCAGTTCAAGGAGCTGTGAAGGTTCAATGCAAATTCTGCCAAAAGGTATTCAACGGAGTGATTTATTGCCTAAAACACCACTTGGCTAAAACAAATCAAAATGTTGAAGCCTGCAAATCTGTTCCTGATGATGTGAATAAGGAGATGATGGAGATTATTATTTCCTTGATGAAAAAAGCAGCTAACAGAAATGGCTCTTCGCAAATTGGTGAAAAGAGAAAAGCCATTGAAAGTGCTGAAATTGAGAGTGTTGGGATCTGATAGTTTTGCAAGAAAATGGGTGTAGGTTCACAGGCCACAATAAACAACATATTTAAGAAGGGTATAAGAGAAGATGCATGTTAAGCAATTGCAAGATTTTTTTACAACAATGTCATAGCTTTCAATGTGGCAAGAAGTAAAGAATTTCCTACCATCTATGAGTTAATTGTGCAGCACGGTCCAGGATTTAAGCCTCCCTCTTATCATGAGATTAGAGTGAAGTATTTGAAGCAAGAAGTGAAGATGACAATGGAACTTATTGAAGAACATAAGGCTGTTTGGAAGAGTGTTGGTTGCACAATAATGACAGATGGGTGGACTGACAAAAGGAGAAAAACCATTCTGAATTTTTTAGTGAACATCCCGAGATGTACACAATGTTTTTGAAGTCAATTGATGCTTTCCACATCACCAAAATAGTTGATAAAATATTTAAGATACTTGATGAAGTTGTGAAAGAGGTTGGTGAAGAAAACATAGTGCAAATTATAACTGATAATACAACAAATTATAAAGCTGCTGAAGAGATTTTGATGGAGAAAAGGAAGAATTTATACTGGACTCCTTGTGCTACACACTGCATTGATTTAATGCTTGAAGATTTTGAGAAAAAAATACCCCTCCATAAGGAAAAAATTCCAAAAGGTAGAAAAACCACAACTTATATTTATTCAAGGATTTCTCATTTCATTATTACAATGCTTCACAAAAGAAAAAGATTTGGTGAGATCAGGTATCACTCAATTTGCCACTTCATAATTAACTTTGGGATACCTTCATGAGAACAAAAGAGCTCTTTTAAGAATTCCTTGTGTGACGAATGGAAGTCCAATAAGTTTTCTAGGACAAGAGAAGAAAATTTAGTAGAGGAAGTTGTTTTGGACAATGGGTTTTGGAAGAATGTTTAATCTGTTTAAAGGATGCATATCCTTTAACCTTCATTTGGTTGATTCAGATGAGAAGTCAGCCATAGGATTTGTTTATGAGGCAATGGACCAAGCTAAAGAGACTATCAATATAACTTTCAATGGTGTCAAGAAAAGATAATTGATTATCTATCAAATTTAGTTAAAATTAAAATTTAGTAGTTTTTTATTCATTTTAGAAAATTAACCTATTTTACTTATTTTTTACTTACATGCCACTATGAAATATCATTGATAATAGATGGAACAAATAACTTCATAGGCCTTTACATGCTGTTAGCTATTTTCTCAACCCTCAGTTATATTATAGTCCTGGATTTAAAGTTGATCTTGAAGTTAAATGAAGACTGTATGATTATATGCCAAGAATGGTGCCTAACATTGAGGAACAGGCCAAAATTGATGTTCAAATTGATGATTTCAAGAAACAACAAATGTTTTGTCCCTTAGCTAGAGCAAAACTTCAGAAAAAGACCCCAACTGATTGGTGGGAGTCATATGAAGATGAACACCAGAGCTTCAAAAGTTTGTCATTTGTGTATTAAGTTTAACATTTAGTTTCTCTGGATATGAACATAATTGGAGTGCATTTGAGATGGTAAGATTTTTAGTAAAGTTGTTTTCAATTATCTACATTCTACAAGCCTACATATTGCTTATACATATTTTAATGTGTTTAGGTCCATACCAAGAGGAGAAATCGTTTGAAGCAAAAGACAATGAATGATGTTGCCTTTGTAATGGCTAATTCAAAATTAGTAAAAAAGAAGCAACTTAGGAGAGATCGTGAGTTAGACCTTGATGATGTTTCATCTGATGATGAGTGGATTGCAGAAAATGATGTTGGTGATATTGAAAGGTTAGATATTGAAGGGTTGGATTTGGATGCACACAATTTGGACTTGGATAAAGATGAGAACTTAGCCCAAAACCAAGATGGAAACAATGCTATTGAGAATGATGTTGATATGCTAAATTTGGATAATGAAGTTGATGGAGATAAAGATGAATACCATATGGTGGATCTTTATGATTTTAATGTAGCACAATTGTTAAATTAGACATCTTAAATTTAAACAAGAAAACAATATATTCTTTTCCTAATATATTTTCTTGTTTAAATGTTGTTTTAGTGCCACGTTAGCATTGCACATGTTAGTAAAAGTTAAAAAAATTTTATGGATGAAGCTTCACTTTAATACCTAAAATATGCAACGTTGTTCAAATCAATCCCCTTAAATTTCAAATTTGAAATTTTAATCCTTAAAATTAGCAATCGTCAATTATGTTAGTCATTGTCGTTAAGAGACGTTAAAAGCAAATAAAAGGGTAATGATAAATCGTGTTAAGTGACATGTGTTGAATGTCATTTTCATTTCTGACTTCTAACAGTTTTAGTCAATAAAATTCCTTCCTCGTTTTCTTCTTTGCCCTTCTTCCATAGCGTCTTCTTCCTTCCTCTGGCCACCACTGCAATGACGTTCACGCTTCAAAGTTTCTTCCTCTCAGATCTTGTCATCTAAACCACCAAATCTAAGCCTTATTTGAAGATTTTGGTGAAGGTTTGAAACGAATTAGACGAGAAAAGAGGCACAATAGGGACTGATTTTGCTGAAGCCAGAGGATGATTTTCCATAACCGAAAGGGCATTAGGGGAGTCCAAGGGGTGATGGGGTTTAAGGAGTGTGGAGTGTGGAGTGAGTAGTTAAAAAAATTGGATATGAAAGTGGTTTTGATGGGTGTGGTGATGGAGAGAGAGAGAGGTGGTTGAGAGATAATAAAAAAAATAAAGGACTAATATGTCCGAACGTTACTATATCTGATATACTAATTGTGAATTTAGTCATAAATAAATACTACCATAAGCCAATAGTGAAAAAAGGTTACAGTTTGTCCCTATCCTATTTTAGAGGTTTTGAGTCTTTTCTCTTCCACATTTTTTTTTGCTACTCTACAAACCTTATGTAAAAGCTTTATTCACATCTAGTTTGTGGTATTTGGGCTTAGCCTCTCTTGTGGCACTTTAACCATGACAACCATGTAGATAATGATTCTTGGATAATCAACATTACCTCTAAATCCTACAAATATTTTTCGTGTGAGGAACTAGGGTGCTTTCAGACTCTCATCAATTCCCCTTACTAAGTCTCTTAATATTCTCTCTCCATGAACGGTGAGAGTCCACATTCTTTATCTGCTATGCATATGACTTTGGTACTGTCAGCAGGGATTCCTTAATTATTGACTTCGGTGCAATTGATCATATGACCTTCCACTTTGCATCCTTTGCATCATACTAACATTGTGTTGATGAGTAACAAATAAATTATGGCTGATGATTCTTTTACATCAATTGCAAGTTACAGTAATATCAAAGTTAGTACCTTTCTATACAAAAAAAGACCATCATGTCTCCAAACTTTATTAATCTTATTTCATTTAACAATCTCACCAAATACCTAGTGTAAATTGTAACGTTTTCTATTCCCATTGTGTATTTAAAGATTAGGTAACAATGAGGACAATTGGAGGTTCTATGGAACAAAAAGGATTGCACCATCTCCATGTGTAAGCTCTAGGTGGACCTGTTTTTCACCTTTTTATTATTTTCCTTTCGACAAAATGCACTAAACACAATTTATTCTTCTTAACAACAAAATAACAGCATAAAAAGATTGAAATGAGAGGAAAAAAAATTGAAACAGTTAAATTATATCTGAGGCTAAACTGAATTACCCATCTTCATATTAAAAGTGTAACAGAACATCAGTATCCGTGAAGGAAAAAGAAAGGGGAAATATGCTATCAAGCTCAAACTATCACTTCTTTTGTCCTTTTCTTTTTTAACATTTTGATGCTCAAATAGATTCAAGAATATTCATTCTCAGCACTGTAAATTTCATAAATATTTTTTGAGAGACAATATTTATCTATTGTGAACTTCACAATAGAATCTCACCTCTCTTATACATTTTAAAAGGCAATGAAAGATGAAAAAATCACAAACAAGTGTTAAATTACCTGGAATTTAGGACTACAAATCCTGAAATGCTACCAGCCTCACGAAGCGCCCTCCTCCAACTCTTCTCCTTCTCTTCTCCCACTGAAATTCTATTCAAAAGATTTTGAAATGCACTTCCAAACTCACCGGTCTGGTGACGCACTTCTGAGGGATCAACATCATAAAACACTGGCAGAACCACCCGGCTAATGGTTCTATGACACACCATTATTTGCTCCAATTCTTGCAGACACCATCGTGAGTCTGCATAATTTTTCGAAAATACAATAATAGAAATTTCAGATTGTTCAATTGCTCGCAAAAGTGAGCTTGAAATCTGATCCCCTTTTCGAAGCGAATCATCATCCTTGAAAACATTAATTCCAGCGTTTTGAAAGGAAGCATAGAGATGTGAAATGAACGAGGCACGCGTGTCTTCTCCTCTAAAACTCAGGAACACTTCATACATCTTTACTACACTTTTCAACTGTAAAGCTACTCCTGTCGATTCAGTACAAACAAACGAATATTTGAGTGCAAACTCAATCCATCTTACATAAAAAAAAAAATACAAATAATATATTTACTCACTTTCAGCATATATGACTGCCCGTATGCTTTTTCTCACGACTTGGAGATGGTCAGGGACACTGGAACTATCAGAAGAAGACATCTTTATGAACGGAAACTGTCACCGAAAATCGTTGACCCAAAAAGTAGAAAGTCCACACTATCATTACTTATGCCCCGTTCAATTATAGAAATGGTTTTCTTAACCAGTGACAAAGCGAATATATTAAGAAGTTAAAAAAACTATTAAAATAAATATTTATCATCTTAAAATTTTTAATATATTTTTATAACTATTTAATTTAATAATTTTTAACATGCCTGACTTTTCAAACAAAATCTGCATCTAAAATATATAGAAAACTTTGGTTTCTTCTTAATTTAATTTAGGAGTATTTAAAAAAATCTAATTTTATAAATCTAATCTATAACTAATGTCAAATTGATTTTAAAAATCTAGATATATATTAAACTGATTTTTTTATTAATTATATTTATGTAATTAATTTAGTATCTAAATCTATTTTTTAAAATTGATTTTTTTTTTATCTAAATTCATATGTATGAAGCAATCTTATACCTTTATTTATTAAATTTTATTGTTAGATTAGTTTGCAAAATTTGATTGTAACTACATTTTATTACTAATAATTTTTTATTAATCTTAATTTTTATAATTAAAATTAAATATTTAAAATAATTAAAGATATTAAAATATAACAAATATTTTTAAATTAATTACTACTGTTATTTTTATATTTATATTTATTTTTTATTTTAAAAATATTATGACATAAAAATTTTATTATTATTTATATTATTAATTTTTATTTTTATAGGTTTTAATTTAAATTTTTATTATAAACTCTGTTTATTAAAAATAAGTTAAAATAATAATAAATATTTTATATACTTCTATAAAATATAATATATTAATAAATATTGTTAAAATATTTTTGAAATACACTAATTTAATGTAACATTTTATACAATAAATTAGTTTTACCTTAAAAATATAATTCATAAATATATTAAAAATTAATTTTGTATTAAAAATTAAATTTAAAATTAGATTTAAAACTAATTTAACATAAAACTAAATTTAAAATTAATTTCAACAAAAATTAAATTTAAAATCGATTTTAAACTAAATTTAAATTTTAAAACTATTTTTGAACTGATTAGAAAAATAAAATAAAATATTTTAAAATTTAACTCATATAATTAATTTGTGTAATAGATAGATGATAAAAAGTAGGATATATGTAAATATTTATTACTTTAATAAAATATAAAAATAAAAAATATTATTAATAAATTAAAATATACGCAAATATTCTTTTGATATATATTGTTAATGTAATAGGTTAGAATACTCCTTAAATTTATATTTTATCTTTAATAAATGTTGATACTTAACATATATATATATATATATATATATATATATATAATGTTATATTATTTATTATAAAATTTAAATATTTTTTAAAATAATAATTAAAAAATAGTTATAGTATATTTTTACTATATGTAAAAATGGTATAAAACCAGTTTTAAACTAAATTTAAATTTTAAAATCAAATTTAAATTAGTTTTAGAAAAATTAAAATAGATTGATTTATAATTCAATTCATATAATTAGATTTTAAATGGATTTACATTGATTTTTTGAAAATCTAGTCCATGAACACTCCTAATAAAAGCATTAAGCATGTTAATATATATTTAAATTTTAGTTTATAATTATATTATTTTTCATTAAACAAATACCTCTTTTCCTTTTTCTGCTTGGAGCTCCTTCATCAAAAGTGAAACAATCATGTATATATCCAAGAAGCATCAATTTGTAAGTAAGGGTCTTCTTTTTCAGTAATTTATTCATCATTTGATTCAATATCAGACAAGCATATAGGATCATAAGTTTTTCCCTTCTTTTCTCTAACCTTTTGTCTTATATTAAGTTGAAGATTGTATTTAACAAAAACAAGTGCATTTAATCTTTGTTGCTCAAAGCAATTTTTTCTCTTGATATACACTTGATCAAATGAACTTTAGTATCTTTCATAACTCATAGCACTACATGTAAGACTTAAAATTCTCATAACTACTTTTGTTATCTCTTTGCACTCTCTACCATAACTTTTCTACCAAAGTCCTATTAAAACATAAATAAGATATAGAAAGATATTGCCTAATTTGCCTTAAAATTAAAAGTTTAAATTAAGAAAAAAATAATTTAAAACTACCAAGTTGCTTCTTGTCTCTAGAATCTTTTGTCATGTTCATTCCAAAAAATCTCTTAGTAGTCTTGAATTTTTCAAGTTGTTGATCAATATAAAATTTTGTTCTTCTATTTAGAATCATTCTTTCAATAATTTCATACGAGCCAAATAAAATCTCACTATCTAGATTGAATTTTTTGTCATAGTGAAACCTAATTAAAGAAGACATAAGACATACAACTTAAGTTACTTAACCTTTAAGAAAGTGTAAAAAATTTAAGAGATTGATGATAACTTTATTTACCTGAGATAATAGGCAATTGCATGAACAAGCTTATGTAATTGTAAATTTCACCTAATATCAATCATCTTCCACACTTTTTTTGTACTTTGACTCTTGATTTTGAAAGATTTTAGCAATTTGCTCTTTAACTCTATCCATCGATTCATAAATATATGACATGATTAGTTTTGAATCACCATATACAAGCCTTAATACTTTCACAAGAGGAATCACACACTTTAAGCAACACTAGATGAATTTCAAAAATCTAGAATCATTCAAAACTAAGTTCGTGACTTGCTTAGCCTCACTTTTACTAGCATAAAAACTTTCAGTCCATTCTTCTACAGTAAACATAGATGGGAGAACATTCTTTTATAGCATAATGAAATTTAGTGTAAAATAAGAAGTTGCAAGCCTTGTTATAGTTGGCCTTGCTAATTCCCTTCCTTTAGAATGTTGTCTATACAAGTTAAGGACCTATATGTCTATATATGTAAATTGTAATTCTCTTTACATTTGAAATTTTATTAAAGAACACTGAAAACTATCCAATACTCTCAAGCACCAAATCTAAATAGTGAGCTACACAAGGGGACCAAAATAATATTATCTTCTTTTCCTTAGCATTTTTCTAGCTACCACAAGGTTGGAAGCACCATTTATCACGACTTGTACTATATTATCCTCCTCAATTTCTTTCACCTGTCATCTAATAATTCAAACACTTGTTCGACATCTTTGATAACATCACTAGTATCAACCAATTTTAAGGAAATAATCCTACTTCGATTGTTAACAAGAAAATTAGTAAGAGATATTTTTTCGTTTGTCTATTCATTACACATCATAGTCCAGTCTCACTTCTCTCATTCACTCTTGTATTTTCTAAATTTTCATGAATGTTATCAATTGCTTTTTTCAAAAAAGATACTCTCACTTCATGATAAGAAAGAGATGTTAAACCCCTACCAAAATCTCCAATAGCTTTCAATATTTGAATAAAATAATAGGAGCTTCTTACCAAATTAAATGATAAGGCATTAGCATATATGCACTTTCAAATTTCTTGAATGACAACATTTCTATCTTTAAACATTGTATTCACTTGTTGTTTGCTTTAGATGTCCCTTCCTTTTCTTTGCTAATAAAATAACTCACTCTTCCCTTTTGATGATCACTTGCATCTTGGGTTACAGTTTCTTCAAAACACTCCAAGCTATTTTCACCTAATTTTTTATTTTCTTTCTCTTCCAATAGTTTAATGAATATCTCATTTACCTCATATAGAACACTTGTACAAGTACTTACATTTTTCCTTATTTCATCTAAATGATGTTTCATTCTTGCAACTCCACCAAAATAAGTATAAGAACAATATTTGCATTTCACTAATAGTCTGTGTGGAAGGACACTTTCATAATGTTTCCAAGTGATATCACTCTCTTTTGTTTTTTTTTTTTGTAGGGCCCATCAATTTCCCCAAACAACAAATAAAAAGATTAAGAGAAGACAAATATAAAATAGAAACTGTTGACGAGACATGGGAGTGAGAAGGGTAGAGGGAAGAATAAGAAAAAACTTGAGGGGACCACCAAAAATAAACTAGGAGACCACCAGAAATCTAAGAAGAAGAAAAGCATAGTGTAGGAATGGAGAAATCAAGTATTTTTTCAATATAAACAGTGAGTTTTGTAGGGTGGGTCTTACAAAGGCATTATTAAGTGAAAACAACAATTTTTACAAAAAATAAAAATAAAAAAAGGGTTTTTAGAATTTTTAGTGAATCGAGTACACTGACTCAACTAGATTGGTGTATGACCCAGTTCGCGGCTGAATTGTAAGCCGCCTTCAATCCAAACTGAATCTTGCGATTCTAGACAAAAAATATACTCTTATTGCTCTATTCATGAATCACGTCATCTTATATGTATCGTATCACAAATGATACGATACTATATATATATAATTTTAACTTTTAAACAAAAAATATTCTTAGAAAGTAAAATTAAAATATTCTTACAAGTTTTTTTTCTTTCAAAATTTTGTCATATGATTTAATTTATTTTGTATTAAACATTTATACATTATTATATTTGATACTTAAAAGACTTTAAGACTACTTTTTTTTTATTTTGATTTTTAATTTTTTAAAATTATATTTCAAAATAATTTTGGCCCTTAACTTTTTCCTTTTTAATATTTATCTTGATTTAATTTTTATTAATTATATGTGAAAGTTTTGAAGTATCAACTATTTACCCTTGATTTTCTACAAAGAGTTAACTCTCTACTTCACTCCTCAAGTTTGACCGAGAAAATTATACTTGATTGCTATTAGTGAGTCAAACACATTGTCTATGTGGGCCAAATTAAAATTAAATTTTTATT